ATAGTTGGGACACTAAATGTAGGATTGGTGTTCAAAAAGGGATCGGAACCATTAACTCTTAAAGGTTATGTGGATTCTGATTTCGCTGGAGATAAAGATTAAAAATGTCTACGATTGCCTTCTTTTTTACACTTGGTGATAATTGTATTACGTGGAAGTCTCAACTTCAATCAATTGTAACTTTGTCTAGCACTGAAGCTGAATATGTGGCAATTACTGAATGTGTAAAAGAATGCATGTGGCTTAAAGGGATCTTAACTGAACTGAATTTTCTAAATACTCCACCTGTGATATTAACTGATAGTCAAAGTGCTTTACTTTTAAGCAAAAATCCTGTCTATCATGAAAGGTCAAAACACATTGAGGTGAAGTATCATTTCATAAGAGAAAAACTCTCATCTGGTGAAATGGCTCTTGAGAAAATTCATACTGATTTTAATCCTGCTGATATGGGGACTAAAATACTGACTGTTAATAAATTCAGATCTTGTTTATCATTGCTTAGTATTGATACAGGTTGATTTTTTGTGCAGGTACTTGGGCGATGATGTAGGGTACGGTTCTGTCACTAGCATTATAGCAACAAGAGAGGAAGTGCGCGATTTGAGAACCAAGGTGAAGATTTGTGAAGTCGTGATTCTCAAACAGCACATCCATAAGTGAAAAAAACGTTTTCTACTCTTTATACTCCATGGACAGATGGCATTCGGTTATTGGATAAAATAATGTCACTAGAGTTGTGGTTTTTCTCTTATCATTTATGGACCATTGATCCACATCCATGGTTGAGATTTAGTCTCATATAATTAATGCAAAAGGAGACTTTAAGGGTTGGTGAGAAGAAGTCAGCCGGCACTTTTCTTTTCATTTTGGCAGAAATTGTCCCTTCAAGTTTCTCTCTCTCTCTCTCTCGTTCCTTCATGTTTCTGCTTCTTCTTTTCTCTTTTGAATTGAAGAACCAGTGAAGATTATTGCAATAACCTTGTTGATATCTGATGATGATAGAACTATGGTACAGAGTTTTAGGCCTTGATTGTGGCTGGTAAATCTGTAGTGTGTTCTTGGGAAGGTTTTGTCTAGTCTTGTAGGCTAGGTTTTCGAGTTATTGAGAGATCCTTGTGGATCGATGATCATATAGTGGGTATGATGTGGTTTCTTCAACTGATTGTACACTCTCTTGAAGGTTTCTTGCTAGTGAATGGCTTACCTCTGAGCCCCCCAGATTAGGCCATTTCAGGCTGAACTGGGTGAAAATTTCTGTGTTCGATTTTATGTTCTTGTTTTATTTTACTGTTTTACGATTGTTTGTTGGTGTTGGGTCGATAATCCTAATAGGGTCATTAATCACTTTTACCCCTTAGTTGGGGCAACAAAGGTGTAGAATATTTTCAATTGGAATTGTTGATGGAGAAGTTTGTTTTTGTTTTTCATTGAAGGGCTCAAATTTATTTCTTGCAATGGAATTTGTCTTCAGGCGGAGAATTTTTTTAAGTTTTGTTTATTGTAGTAGAATTTTTGTCAAAATGGAGATCGTCAGAAATTGGGAGTGACTCTTGTTGAAGATAAATTGAGAGTTCAATTTCAGTGCATATTAAGATAAATTCTATTTGAAATGCTTTAAGAATCCTATTCGAAGTCTATTCGACAAATTCTAATTGAAATTCTATTTGGAAATCTTATTGGGAGTTAGAATTTGTGTTGGACTTAAAGAGATCAAAATAAGGAAACCTTTGGGCATTCTATTTCATTTACAACTTTACTTTTAGGGTTTGGATTGTTCCTTATATATATTTGGCTACAGTTTAGTTGGGTTGTTTAACCTCATTACAAGTTAGACAAATTTAGACACAAAATCTTTGGATTCTTTCTCCATATTATAATAAAATCTTCATTATCTGCAAATTATTTTATTCTTGTGATCAATTACTTCATATTATGGCTTAATCTCTTATTTTCTCCAACAATTTAGTATTGGATCAATTCGGTATCATCTTCCGATTTTCGCAACAAACTAGTATCAAAGCTATTCGACTTTCAATAAAATGGTTTTAGGTCAGCATTATAACACAATCGATAGCTTTGGTGGTGAATAAGGGCGAAGTGAAATCGACCTTGAATAATCAGTAAAGGATATGACGTGTATCTCTGCTAAATAGTTTGATGATCAATAAGATTAACTAGGTATAAATAGGATTCCGGGACTATGCACATATCAAGTTTACATTTGGCAAAGTTTTAAGTGCTCATAGGCCGTTCAAATATCATTTTTAACCAAGCATTCCATAGGATCCACATCTTTTATCTACCATTTTTTTTTTTTTAATTTATTTATATCATACATTCCTTGGAAATGAATAATCAGTAAAGGATATGACGTGTATCTCTGCTAAATAGTTTGATGATCAATAAGATTAACTAGGTATAAATAGGATTCCAGGACTATGCACATATCAAGTTTACATTTGGCAAAGTTTTAAGTGCTCATAGGCCGTTCAAATATCATGTTTAACCAAGCATTCCATAGGATCCACATCTTTTATCTACCATTTTTTTTTTTTAATTTATTTATATCATACATTCCTTGGAACCACTGCTCATAAGCACTAAAATGTTTATCCAAGCAAGCACTAAGATTCAGAGGTTAATATGAAGATGGCTCTATATTCTATAATCGAACACAGGAAGCCTGGATTGGTTGAAGAAATTAGAACAGAAGACTAACAGCCTTGCATGTATTCTAGAAGACAGAATTGGTGGTGACTTAGGATTGTACTTCTCAATAAAATGGCCAATTGAAAGGCTATAATATGCACTCAAACTTGTCCCTGGAGATAAATAGGAGTTCAACATCCTACGGTTAATATCACCAAGTTTCGACGAGCATGGTCAAGTCTTATGAGTGTCTATGAGAATAAGGAACCTGTTAATAAAATGAAGGTGGCAACCTCCCATAAAGTCACTCTAAAACGAAAGTAAAAAAATATTAATTGCCAAATTCTCCAATTTCAGTGTACATAAATGCTAATATTTTAAGATTAGCCTTTGTTTGGTGTAGATTAAAAACTTGCTAACTTGAAAATTTCAAGTGGATGAATAAGTAAAAATCCATGTCAAAATCAACAATTAATTTTAATCACACATTTCAAGGATCCACAATTTTTCAATCATACATTTCATCAACTTTTATCAAAATCTACTAAAAATTTGATTTTAGCTACACCAAACAAGGGCTGAAAATTTTTATTTGAAAGACCAAAGGCAGCAGTAGCACAAGTGGCAGAAAATTAAGTTCTCTTTTATATGGAAATGAAAAATAACATTTTAAAATTTAAATTCAACTCCTTTGGTGAATCCACTTTCCACGTTTTTGGTTATCAGTAAAGGAGGCAATGTTTTTATCTATTGTTGGATGTGCAACAATATATGCTGAGCTACTGGCCTACCACATTCAACCACCACCAAAAAGAAAGAAAAGGGGAGCAAATTTGCGCACATTGCTCACCACGCCAATATCAGTTATCACCTTGGTACCTCACCGCATGTTTCCTTCTAGTTATCTTCCACTGTGTATTTCCAATATAAAACTGATTTGAACTGTTTTGTTCAACATCCCTCGTACCTCACCACATGTTTCCTTGTAGTTATCTTCCACTATCTACCAAAAAGTCTCCAGAAATATCAAATTAAGACTGTGTTCACTCAGTATATCCCACAAAAAAATGAATTTATTCATACACGTTTTTTTAAGTAAAGTGATGGATGCATCTTTAAGTGAGGAATAGCTTCAAGCTTTGAGTTCAATTTTAGGGTAAATGGACTAGAAAAATCCCGTGGACAGGAACAGTGAGTAGACAACTTGGGAAAAGTTGCAAAGTATTAGGAACTGCAGGATAGGAAACTGATCCTGTACTGATGATTAAGTAGAAAACTTGGAAAATTCGAAAAAATAATTGAACTTTTGGGACAAAGAACTTGCAGGATATTCTGAGACAAATGCTCAAGACCAATTGCTTGTGGCTTAACTGTTTTGCTTTCTAAAAATCGTATGGTGCTATGGAGCTTTATCGCAGACAAGTGAGTAGGGTGTTGATAGTTGATAAGGGTATTTCTATGTACTTAATGAAAACGCCCACTCGGTGTGCCTACATAAGTTTTTGGTAATATTAATGAAGTAATCTGGTATCCTAGATATCAGCCATGGTTGCCAAATAATTTGTACAGTACACAGACGCAACAAGATTCTTAGCATGACTAACAATCAAAGCAGTGATCAAATGGCGCCTCACTGCTTCATAGGTCAAATCCACGGATAAAAATGTTACAAAAGATTGTCCTCACATGAAGATAGTCCTTCACACTGTGATCTAATGAAATTATGAAAGAGCTGCTCAATAGCACGAAATCCTATATTTTCTCTACTGAAAAATACTGAGCCTGTGTTTGGGAAGAATTCATAAATGGTTTAATTGATAAATAGATAGAAATAAGTGGTTGATACTTGGATACTACTTGTGGGTCTATTGAAATGTGTGGTTAAAATGAAGTTTGAACATTTATAAATAATTTAAAATTTTTGCCAAAAAGAGGCTAAAACGTCAAAAACAAATCAGCCTGAACTGAAACTAATTGCTTCCTTTAGACAACCTAGCTTCATATCTACAGAAACTCATTTGCAATCCACATGCAATGCACGATGAAGGATGAATTAAAAACTAGATAGACAGAAGGAGAATTCAGCCATAAGCACTATAAAGAACCAGAATACAGAAATTTTTCGTTACCAATTTATGGAACACGAACCTGGCAGGGAATTTGCTGTTGAACATTTATAAATAATTTAAAATTTTTGCCAAAAAGAGGCTAAAACGTCAAAAACAAATCAGCCTGAACTGAAACTAATTGCTTCCTTTAGACAACCTAGCTTCATATCTACAGAAACTCATTTGCAATCCACATGCAATGCACGATGAAGGATGAATTGAAAACTAGATAGACAGAAGGAGAATTCAGCCATAAGCACTATAAAGAACCAGAATACAGAAATTTTTCGTTACCAATTTATGGAACACGAACCTGGCAGGGAATTTGCTGTCTGCCCGAGCCTCAACACGCAGCCACCACAGCATGACCTTGCGCCCACAATTCCCTAGAGGCTCCACTAAAGAAGCACCCTTCAGCAAAGATAAAGGACTCTCAACATCTTCTCCATCCCTACCAACCTCATCCAAATCCTTTATCCATTGTGGCTTATCTTCTGCTTCCTTCCATAATAACCTAGAATTCAAGATAAATCCAGCCCACTCCAGCTTCCTTGGCAGCACAACTCCCCTTTCACCAACATACATTGCCCTCCTCTCTACACGTGGTAGCACATTGAAAGTATGCCAACCCACCAGATGGTTTGACGAATTACAAGACGGTCCCTGAACTGGCATCTGGGAATTCTTCTCATTCTTCCCATTGTTCTCTGTCTGAGCCACAGACAAATCTCCTTCAGACCGTCCTGAAAGTGCAAGAATTCCAACCGAAACTGCGCCTACCCATTTTACACTCTGGATCTCATCAAATAACTCCATACTATGCATATTACTGTCGTCCACAAACGTTACCATCCCATCTAACCTCTTCTTTTTCACAAATCTGCTCCATCACAAACACTTTTAACTTGTCGAAATCACAAATCTACTAACAATGTAGTACTATTGAACTAAGTTAAAACAAACTTTTACACTATAATGATAAGTAAAAGTAAAGATCGAAATAAATCACGGTTAATACGATATACCTTAAGGCGTGTAGTCGCATTTGTACTTCTAATTTATGCCGATCCTCCCATAAAATCGGGATTTTCTCATTATATCCAATATGGAATATTTTGAGGCTTGATTTTGAAATCAACGAGGCCGTTTCATTGGTGGCGCCACCAACTTCCACAACAATCCAGATCAGATTATAGGGCACATTCATCAGAGTATGCATAATGCCAGTTAGATGAAGCGTCTGGAAGGTCCGAACATACGTCGGCGTGATTGCAATCACGGTTCTAGGGCTCTTCACTCCATACTGCAACCTCTGTTCTCTCTGAACCCTATCGATTATCCGGAGAGACTTCAACACCTCCTCCGGATCTGGATGCGGCCAAGGCCGTATCAGTATCCCGTGTCTCCCTACCACAACTCGACTCCCCTCCTCCGTCGCACTATTCACCTCCGGCGTCGACGTTGTGGTGGTGGTAGTAGATGGAAATGAATTGTGGAAAGCAGAATAGAGGTTGGCGGTGGCCGTCGTGGTGGTGTAGGAGGAGGGGGAGGGAGTAGAAAAAATGAGTAAAAATAACAAACGGGAGAATCGGAAACCAAGGACTAGACTGACAAGACAGCAAAAACCATGTAACAGTAGCCAAAAAATCGTCGCCTGAGACTTTACTCCCCCATCCACGGCGGAGTCCAGCTGCGACGATGCACTTCGAGAACTGTTACCCCGGCGGCCCTGCTGCTGCAACGCCGAAAGCAGCATCATTTTGTTCCCTCCTTCCGGTAAATCCTCAGCTCAGAAATGGAGTGGCTTCGAAGAAATTGGGTTTCGGTTGATATGGTTGAGGGAATTCACTTATAATGGAAAATGATTTCTTCAAATTCAAGATTTACCTCACTGTCAGCTTCAATTTCTATTTCCAATTACCGTTCAACTTATTCTCTATAAATGATTATGGATTCAGCGTATTCCTATGATTGATAATTGATTCAGCTTATTTTCTATAACCGAATGAATTCCAATTCGGACATGATGGATATGCTTATTGGAGAAAATCTGGGGTCAAATGATGGTTGGAATACGGATATAAAGCGGGTAGTTTAGGCATTTCATTCTAGACTATTGCTGATAGCATAACTCCCGTTAGTTTCCCCTAAAATAAATTTTTTTATTCTCGTATTTATTTTCAACCACACATTCATAAAATATAATATTTTACATATAAATTCAAAAATTTTACTACTTTTGAACCACATATTCTCCATAAATTACTATTCAAAAATTTATTTTTTTCCAAAATAATGACCATCGAGTATAATTTAAAAAGGATGAATAAGGTGTTCATAAATTTCACTCATTATCAGGGACGGATCCAGGATTGGATCCAAGATCGAGCTATAAAATTTCAAATCGAGCTGTTACGTGGAAAAAAAAATTTACACATAAAAAATTAATTTTTTACCAAAAAAATAAAATGAAAAAAAAACCTTTAAAAAAATTGTTGGGCCTGAGAGGCCCCCCCCCCCCTACACCCCCAACAAAATCCATCCCTGCTATTGTAGCAGTCATGTCATTGATTTTCCTAATCGAATTTTTATTTTCAATTTTCATTAATTAGTGCAACTTCTCATTTATAATGAATTTCATCCAAAATTTTCATTAAGTGGGAACAAAAAGTCTTATTTGTCCATCGTACTTTTATAAAAAAAAAAAACAAAATTGTAACTAAATACAGAGTTTTTAGACAAAAAAAAGCCATTAGGGCACGATATGTGTTATATACTGGAAAATTGAAGATAAAAATGCGATGAAAGAAGTTAATAACACAAATTTGACAATGAATAAAAATTTAAAACATTTATCGAAACTAAAAGGTGATGCATTTATAGTAAGATGTGGCCAGATTATAGTCGTATAAATTCATTCAAACAAAAATTTTGTATTGATTCTTCATCACATTTTAATTAAAATTAAAGAGCTTGATATTTCCTCATTTGGCATTTATATTCTTTACTTTTTTGTTAACATTTTTAATCTTTTACCTTCAATTAATTCACATTTATTGTCCTTGATGATGAATTTTTTTAAGAATAATACTAAGTAAACATTCAATTGTTGACATCTTTGTGTACATTTTATTAGAGTTCAATTAGTGATGGACGGAAAAGTGAGTTTTTTTTTTTTTTTTTTTTAAGCTGTCTAATCATGTATAATGTCAAATATAATATAAAAAGAATGTAGATGTAGCATAATTGTTTTTTAAAATAATATGGTAGCGCTCTATGAAATGAGGGATAAATATTTAGTCGAGCAAATTTTTTTGCTTATTTAAATAAATAAAATGAGCAAATAAGTTTTTTATGCCCACCTGACAAATTTTTGAATTGACAAAATATTATTACTAATGGAAGGTTGATGATAACAATTTGATGAATAAAAAGTTGAGTAATGCTACGTAGCCCTATGGGACTTAGCGGGGTAGCAACTCTGGTGTAGGTGGCACTAATGTTGCATTAATTGATAGATAAAATTAAAAAAATCATTTAATTTCACTTTTCATTCAGTGTCAATTAAATTGGAATTGCAATTCCAGCGAGGTTAAATAGCATTACTCTAAAAAGTTTGATGATATATTGAGAACTTTCATTGTCATTATGTAGCGTACCAAATAAAAAAAAAATAAATAATAATAATAATAATAATAATAATACGGTCAGAATATTTAGGCTGTGAAGACTTATCGTTAATTAAGGAAAAAGTATAACATAATCATAATTAGGGAAAATTGCACAATTGTCGACAACATATTGTCGCATTAACAAGTTGGTCCTTAACCTTTAAAATTAACAAATTGGTCTCATACCTCTAATTATAATTGCAGATTTAGCCCTATTAACATAACAACAAACCATCGAAACTCTATTATACTATCATGTGACCTTCAAGAAAAAAAAAAAAGCTTCACTTTAAATTTCAAGATCGAGTGGTCTGAAGCAATAAACAACACCCGATTTCATAAAATTATACATACTAGTGTCACTTGACAATTAGACAAAGATTTGAACAAATTTCATCAATATAACTGATTATAACAATAACTAATGGGTGATCATAGAGAAATTTGTGGGCAACGCTCTATGAAGTTTGAAGCCACGAGATTCATAGCCGCAACGTGACACGACAGGTCTACATACGTACCTAACTACCCACCACCAGACATGTCAAGAGCAAAAGAAAACAATTGGTGATGAATTTATTCCTTTTCAAAAGTTAGGTACTTAATTTGCCATTGAGATAATATGTTGGGGTTAACAGACAAATTATTTATCAAGAAAATGTGGGTTTATTAGGTTAATGGTCAACTATCAATTGAGTTGAGCCGTCAGATTTTTTAGTATAAAGGCACGCGAAAAATGAGGTGAACTGGACACAATTATTGCTTGGGTCAAACTTAACCAAACTTGAGTACTCTATCTTGACGTTTTTAGTTCAACTCCTCACCTAATTAGTTGCGATGATTAAAGTCCATATTTGGTATAAATTTAAATTTTTTTTAAGGCTGGACAAATTTTCATGTATTTAGTAGGTGAAACCGTCAGATCCAAATTTAATTATGAAATTGTTCGGGTTCGGTTCTATTCAATTCAGTTCGGTTCGATTTGGTTCCCAAGTTTTGTATTATAATTAAAATTTTTAATATTTACAAAGTTACATTAATTTAATTAATGATATATTCAATTTTAGTTTTTACAAAATAACGTAATCAAATCTTATGTGTCTTTTGTGTCCCTCTTTGTTGAGTTCTTCATAGATTTGATTGTTAAAATTATAGGAAGAAAAAGATAGCGAGTTCAAAATAACTAAGAGAGGTGTTGTCGTGCTTTAATTCGATTTTTTCAGAACAGTAGAAACGACACTACGTTAGAGTAACAGATTTGGATGAAACTTAGATTAATTTGATTAAATTGGCTTTGAATTGAAAATTATAAATAAGAAAATAATATTTTTGGGTTTGAACTAAATTAATTAGTTAACGAATTTATTTAGAAAAATAAAATAACTCGATTTATTTAAAATTAATTAATTAAAAAATTAGGGAGATTCGATTCTTATTTGATTATTCGGTTCTTGATTTAAAATTGAGAATCGAACTAAATTTGTCAATTCTCGATTCAAATACGTTCGGTTATTTTACTTACGAAGAATCGCTATGTTCGGTTCGGTCGGTTTAGTTCGAGAATTTTGTCTAACCCTAATTTTTTTTTTTTTTTACAAACACATTTTTTAATCACACACTCTCAATAAAATAAGTTTACACATGGATCGTAAATTTTTTCTATTTTTAATCCTCATTCTCAAAAAATATTATTTTTCATAAATTAATTTTAAAAAATTACATCAAACTAATTCTTAAAAAAATATCTAAAATTGAAAAAAAAATGAAAAGAAAAGAAAGGAAAGAATGAGAGTAAACAATAGAAGACGTGTAAATTTGTAAGGCACATTTGATGTGTTCAATAAAATGTGATTAAAGAATATAGACGTATGATAAATATTTATCGATTGTTATATATGTCACGTTCAAGCCATATATATCAAGTATGCTAATAAGGTAAAATGATTTAAAGTGGAAATTTGGGCATGGGTCGTATTTATGTACTTATAAGGATTTTTATCAAATAAAAATACATTTGATAATTTAGGCGCTGTTTGGTAGTCATTTTCTTCAAAATACATTTTTCTCTTTCTTATTTTCAACCACACATTCTTTATTAAAATATTATTACACGTAAATAAAAAACGTTTCCTTATTTTTTAACCATATATTTCACATCAATTTACTATTCTAAAATACATTTTTACATAAAAATACCTATCAAATACCCTCTTAATATGCTTGACCTTGTTTATTAATTTGATTCATAAAGCGTAATATGAATTTATTTGAATAAATATAGATAAATGTACTTTGTTAGTTGTTTTATTGAATCACGTTCAATATAGCATATCAAGCAAGTGAGCCCCTTGGGACATAACCTAGTGGTGTAAAAGACAGAAGTGAGGTACTTTCAGCTTTACTGACAGCTGCAGTGTGAGGGTTCTATTCCTGATATATGTAATTGGACTCTTTGTGGGCACCAACGTACAAGCAATCTCTTATTCTCTAGCCTGCTGAGGCATATTCCACAATTTACCTTCCTCATGATACTCCAGGGGCGAGGCAGTGGAGGCCCTCAAAGTTGGGGTTCAACGTTTTTATTTTATTTTATTTTATTTTAATCTCAAGCCAGTGAACAGAATATTACGTGACCTCAGATTGAAATTTTTGCCATATTCACCTCAACATTGGTCTAATTTTGTTTTTCTTTTGTCACGTGCCTATGGTTTATTTAGGAAATTTTTCAAAATGCATCTTATAATTAGGATGTATTTACATTTTGCATACCATGTGTTGTAAGAAACATAAAAATTTTCAAAATTGTCTTATAAATAACTATAGTATTACATAATTTAGCCCCCATTTGGTTGTTTTTTTCACCATTATTTAACCTGGTTAGTCGTCATTTTTGATTTTTTCATTCACAGGTAGGACCCTGTTTGAGCCCCATTATTTCATGATTAAAATAAAAAATATAACCGTTATCCATTACATCAAACCACCATATTTGATTTTTCATTTCTTGTGTGGGACCCATAACAGCTATATTTTTTATTCTCATTTCTACAATAATGTGGCTCAAATAGGGGCTAAAAATCAATATCAAACAGACCCTTTGTATATTAAGTACTATAGTTAGAAATGGACATTTCTTTTAATGATTTTCAAAGACTTGAACAAATGCTCATTATAAAGACTTTTCCTTTGTCACCTAACTACTATTTAGATATGGGCTTTGATAGAGGAAATTCGATCGATGTCCGTTTTCACGTGGTTGATTTTGAAAATGATAGATTTTTCAATGATTTGTACAATTGACCATTTTGGAACAAAATATTCTTAAAATGAAATTCAAATTTTAAATAAATTCTTATTAAGACTCGATCAAAAAACCCTTAAAAGTGACACGGTTACAAGTAAATCTCGTCACAAATGGACAAATCTAATTTCACCTCAACACGCCAAAATGGCAAAATATGATAAAAGTATTGTCCCTTCTATTTACTTTATTTTTCGTTCTCTTTCTTAATTCTTCCAAGTTCATAAAATTCGTTTCTCTCCATGATCGGCTGTCCTACTTCATTTCTATCTCGAAATTATTTTAACGATTTTTTTGGTGCTTTAATTAACTTTTTGTATTTCATGAAAGAGTTTTGCGGATTAAATTTATTAGAAAAGTTTATTTTAATTTTTTATAAATACTTATGATTTAAATGTTGTAGTTGAGTAATGGTAATTGTGACGTGGGTTTTTTTTATTTTTATTTTTTGAAGTATTGATTTGGAAAATGTAGTTTGAAAACCATAAATATTGTTTCCTTTTGTTGCGAAATTGATCTGCCCTTTTAATTCTGGATTTTTCCTTTTGTTTTTGTCAGTGCGAAAATTGATTATAATAATTTTTCAAAATGTTTACAATTTTGTGAAAATTTTTGGTCATTGTATGATGTAGTCATTTTTTGGTGCTGAATATATTGTTATATTTTGATGCTTCGTATTCTGGTATGTATATAGTTTAAGTAATTTTTGAACCTTGCAGTGTATATGTTTGGGAAATATTGACCAAGATTACTTGTTTAGGTTGATTAAAAAAAAAAAAACACTTACAAGAGAGTTATTTTTACACTTCTAAGTAATTTTTTTTTTCGCTTATACATAATTTTTTTTCTATTTAAAAAAGTATTTTTTATATTTGAATTTTTTTTTTCTTATGAGTGATTTTTATGTATAAATATTTTTCATAGTTTTAGTTTTTATTTACTTGTAAGTAGATTTATGTCCTTCAATTCAATTAATTTTTTTGATAAAGCCATGCCTGGATGCACTTAAAATTGCAATTTCAACTGTTAAAAAATAAAATTTGGGTCGCTGCTTTTCACTAAGACAATACGGTTGAATTTCAGACCTTGTAGCTGCAATTTTGGACAATTTTTATGTCAGAATGACCTTTTTGCCCTTAACATTAAATTCATTTTGCATGCAAGATGGGCATTTTCGACATTTCATTTATAACAACATCAAGTTTTGTTGCCAAACTAGGACCCATTCTACAGTGAGTACCGGTCAATTAATTGTTCAAATTGGGAGAAAAGCTCTCCCAGACAGGCCCATATATTATAAAATTTCAACTCACTTCATATAACATGTTACTTACGAGTATCATAATTTGATTTCAGTACTGTTAAGAACGACCCTAGTGACGTTGGCGTTTATGAAGGTGTTTGGTGGAGATTCAAATTAGATTTTTTATAAAAGTTTTTGAAATGTATGATTAAAAATTGTGGATTCCATGAAATATATGGTTAAAATTTAATGTTGTATTTCAATTGAAATTTTAATCCAAAACAAACAGGCTCTATATATAAGGATGGCAACAGGGCGAGGCGCCTCCACCTCGCCCCATGCAGTCTCGCCCAATCCTCGCCCCGTCTAAGGTGGGCTGGGGTGGGGCGAGGGACGGGGCAACTTTTTGCCCCGTCTAATATATATATATATATATATATATTGTATATTTTCAAAGTTTCGAGTTATGTTATTATTAGAGAATAAAATACAAATTCAAAATGAATTTTTAATGAGTGAATTATCTAAAAATAATTTTTTTTAAAATTTTTTCCTTTACGAGGCGGATTCGAGACGGGGCATGGTTGCCACGCCTCGCCAACCGTTTAGGACGATTTTTTTACCCCACTCGGAACGGGGGCCTGTCGGAATGGGATGGGGCTAGGTTTTTTTGCCAACACTATCCATATATCACATATCATTCAACTTCATATCGTTGACTAAATATGGATCAACACCATAATGGTCTATAGAGTGGATCGTGCACCATCTAGGTTCGATGGTCATGAAATGAGCTGACCATAACATAGGACGGCCTGAGTCTATTTCGAGACAGTTGTTAAATAGACCAATCCATTCACGGCCCACAGGTCTTAAATTTCCCAACTACTCTGCCCCCACATAGTGGCGTGGTTTTCACGCTGAAATTTAAAAAATCCTCAACTTTCCAATTATTACACCTTATGCCCATATATTTGAAAATGATGCAAATTGATCCGTATAATCCTAGCCCTATCCAACATTCAATATGACATTGACCCTAGTTCACCTATAAGAATTCGTAAATGTAGATTCCTCCATCAGGGTACGTCAAAGAAGCTTTTGTAAAACTAGACCTTTTTTGATTTTTTTTTTTTATGGGTGTCGTCTCAAGAGATCATTTGTCTTCACAAGGGATTGTAATGTCTCTTTATTAGCTCCTATTTGTGGTGCACGATTTCTTGAAAATGTAGGTGGTTACAATTGATTTGATAGAAAGGAAAGGATAATGTGTATTTTTTTGTTAGGGATTTCTTGGACAAAATTGGCACTTATTCCCTCAATTTCTTATAAAAGATATTTAATCTGTTAGAATAGAGTTAAACCCTTGTCTAGTAACAATTTTTTCCCAAAATTAAGAGCAATTTTTGTACCGTTGTCAAAGTAAAGTGATAGAACCCTTAAGAAAGAAGTCAATAAAAGCAGGCTGAAATGGAAGGGCAACAGTCAGAAAAATGATTGAAATCAGATGGAAAATCAAAAATAGACACAGGCTATAAAAAGTATTTATGCTAATTGTGTCCTTTACATAGATCTCGTAGTTTTTCGTTTGTGTCACCTATTTCGATCATATTATCTTCATTCACTTGTCCCTTTGTATCCACATGAAATTCGATGCCTTTTTAGTTTTTATGCTTAATTGAAATGTCCTTTTCGTATGCATGACAAGTACTGCATAATTATTAAGTAGACGGAAATTTATAAAAAGGACGAATTCGACACAAATTACAAGTTTGGAGATCTAAATTATATAGTGTGCAAAGAATGGGGACCATTTCCCCAAAAGCCGTTAAAATAATACTTTCCCAACCCTTTAAAACCCTTCTCAATCTACAAACAAACGTTACAGCTGCTTAAAATTTCCGTATTCTTTATAAACATTTTGCGGATACAGATTTTTCTTTTTGTTTAGAAAAAATTAAGAATGTCGGGAGGAATTGCTGGAGGACGACTGGCAGAAGAGCGCAAGACCTGGCGCAAGAATCATCCNTTTTTTTTTTTCCATCTGAATTTGATGAGCTGGGAATTGGGATTAGAGGTTAGAGTTTTAATAGTTATGTATATCAGTTTTATATAAATTGATTGAAGCTGATGTATCATAGGTAACTATGATTAGGCAGTGGTACTTTATTTTTCATGAACATCTTTCAATGTGATTTGATTTTTAGATAGCATTTACTTAGTTTCTGTTAATAATATGATGCTGCATGAGTGGGGCGGATCCAGGATGAATTTGCGCTGGTGTCTTTTATAATTTTACTAAGTGAACTTTGACAGTATGAGAAAATCAAAAAGACGAAAAGGAAAATCAAATGAATGATGTGGGAAATTGCTTAATTTTATGGGCCTCTTTTTAATATTTTTTTGTCATAATTTGTCTTTAATAAAAACTGGATGCTCTACACACATTTCAAATCTTTATCTGCCCTCTTATATACCAACTTCCGTTGCCTCTCCCTTTCACTTCCACAAGCTTTTTCAGATTCTGCTTCTATTCCAAATCTTTGTATAAATTTTCCAAGTCGATATTCACTTGTATTTTCTAGAAGGCAGCTCAATTTCACCTTTTAATAACTTTCTGTTTGAGATTTGGGATGGATTATTCTGCTAGTCAGTTTATTCTTGATATTTTTGCTTTCATCGTTGCTAGATTATTGAATTTATATTTATTTTTTATGAAACTAAAATCTGGGTTTTGAAGTTTTATCAAGATTTTAATTGGGTTTCTGTTATTTTTTAATTGAATCTTCCTTTTTTTTTCTACTTGAAATTAGTAATCCAAGCCCAAAGTTTCCATGTTTTGGTTTTATTTGTTTTGAAATTGGAGTTGTTTCTCATTTTTATCCTGAGCTGAGGTGGGCAATCCTTTTGGTCATTTTTTTTTTTTTGGCTGAGTGGACTCAAGCTCTGGTCTAGATCTTGTGCCTTAATTCTTAAATGGAAAAGAACCCTTACAAAATTTAAACTCACTTTTCATATTGTATTCGACATAACAAAATAACACCATATTTGTCTCCTTTTTGTACTGCATCATTCTTATGAACATATTGTTACATCATGCCCTTGTTGCCTGACCTCTTTGAGGAGTTAAAGGTCAACTCCTCTGTCTATGTTAATGATACTGCCATGTAGCATGATCAACTTTTTTGCATTAACAGTCACACTCCTAGGTAGCTAGTGATGGAATTATCTTGCTTAAAGCCTAGGAAGCACAATCTCTCTGGATTAAAGTGTCTGAGCTGGATGCATAGCAAACATGGAAATGCCTAAACGCCTGGCATCAGACTCAGTGTTGGACAAGGGGACACATTATAAGCTGGGACATGTTTGGGGCACTCAAGGATGTGCTAGCTAAATAAAAATTTTGGGAATCTAAACATAATTTGGATTCTAAATAATGTGTTAAAAACTTAAAATCACAATATCACAAAGTTAAGGTTTGAATGACAACAAAACCAAGGAAAAACATTGAATTAGACCACTTGAGAAGAAAGGAGATCATTCAATTGTTATGCAGCCCTATATTGTACGACATATAATGTTCTTGTTGAATTGAAATCTATCAAATATTCATATTTATCTTATCCTATAAACAAAATCCAATTCAAAAGCTGTTAACATTGTATTTCAAAGCATCTCTACCATATCATGTCCTTTTTAAACAAAGTGATGTGTATGTGCATTTTAGACTAAGCTATTGCCTCATATTGATGAAAGCTAATAATGATATTTATAGCGATGGATTGTTAAAAAATTTAATATTTTCACCATGATGTTCTGATGGTTTGTACAAGATGCAAATTGTTGAGGAATTGTGGCGTATTGATTTTCTTTAATATTTTCAATCCAAAATTTATCAAGGGCTTTTCTTTGTAATTATGGTGTTGATACTTCCATTATCCATACTTTGGATAAGTGGATCTTATACCCCCACATTAAAAAAATACTTAACCAGCCACATCTACTCATGCACGTATGCTTTTGCACATTGTTGGAGATGGCCCTAGGTTTATATGTTACTTTGACTTCTATAGTTTCAAATTCATTGAAGTTCTACTGTTGGGCATGCAACAATTGATGAGGATATGATACATGTCTCCAATATTTTGCATTGGCCATGAACTTGGTAAGTGCATATGGATTTTGAGGTTTTTCCAGTAACTGTACACCTTTTTATCATAATGTATGAAAATAGTTTAAAAAGATGTAATACTTCATGCGTGCTTAGAGATTTGGTGAATCTGGCATTTTGGTACTCTTATCAGATGCCTGGTCTTGAGTCTAAGATAAACCAGGTTATTTTTGGGGAACTGCTAAGGAGTAAGGACTTATACATTTCCCATGCTTTATTTAGTCCAAGGTTTAAATACAGCCTTATAACCTTTTTTTTTTTTTTAAATAAATCTTGGGTCAGCTTTATTATAAAAGTCGAATGGATTTGGAAAATTACTCTAGATGCTGAACTTGCACTATTATTGTGGTTCTCCGTGTAATTTGGTAGCAATAATGTTTAATCATGTGTGTCTTTGCAGACTGATTGGGATGGTGGATACTATCCACTGACAATGCACTTTAGTGATGACTATCCAAGCAAGCCACCGAAGTGCAAATTTCCTCAAGGCTTCTTCCATCCAAATGTGTATCCATCTGGAACAGTTTGTCTCTCAATCCTCAATGAGGATAGTGTAAGTGCATACTGGCATTATGCTATATTTTTCGAATGTTGACCTATTACTGACATAGTGCTCATTTTATGATTTATTACTCATAGTTATGGTTTGCGTTTGATTATATTCTAGGGCTGGCGTCCGGCCATTACAGTGAAGCAGATTCTTATCGGTATTCAAGATCTGCTTGATCAGCCAAACCCTTCTGATCCAGCACAAACTGAAGGGTATCATATGTTCATCCAGGTAATTAAGCCTTTCCCTAAGCTGCAATGATGAGTGTTCTTTCGGAAATTAGATAGGAGTTTTATTCATTAACATGCTGACAATTACCTATGCAGGACCCTGCAGAATACAAGAAGAGGGTGAGGCAGCAGGCCAAGCAGTATCCTCCTCTTGTCTGAGTACAAACTTCAATTTTTAGTGTGTGATTGTTGTCTAGTATTTATTCAAACTTATTTCATTGGAAGTGTTCTATTTAAACACAAGTTGTGTATATGAATGAATTAGGTTTGTCAATGTTTGTCATTTGGTGCTTGTTTTAATTATTACTGAACCTTCATTATGCATGAGGATGTATAATCTGGTGGAAGTGGCTGAATGGCTTCCCAAAATTATGTATAAACTAAACTATTCACTTTGTTATTGCAAATTAGGAATTACCGTGTGCATGTTTGGTACGTAGTAATGAATATGATCCTCATAATGATTGACATGGTAATATTGAGGCATTATCATACAGGTCTGCATTGCACTCTAGGCAATTAGTTCGTGTTTGATACACAACATGCAATGCTACTGTTGATATTTCAACTTTATTTATTTATTTATTTTTAATTTTTTAATGTGGTTCAGTATCATCTAATTTACTTTTAACATATCTTATCAAACATGTGATCATATGTTAGGGCAATGCTAATATGTTGATAAGGTGACAAGAAATGGGAAACTTTAGTTGTTTGGCTATTTGATTTTTTTAGAATGTATTGTTAAAAGTCGGGAAAGTTTGTAGTTTGATTGCGTGGTTGAAAATGATATTAACAAATTTGGTTTTAGAAATTTTTTTGACAAACAAGTCTAAAGTTAAATTCATAATCAATAAAACCACAATCTTCCTTTCAATGACTTATGATGTACAATAAGTTTTAGTATAATTAAAATATAGAAATTGTAATTATTTGTAAAGTAAAAAGTGGATAATTTTCTTGTAATTGTGAAAAGCACAATCGTCTTTTAAAAATTTCAGTGTTTGAAACAATAGGTTATGTGACTTGAATCATGAACTTCAAGGCTTGTAGGAAACTGAATTCTTGGGACTTGACTTGATTTAGACATTGTTTGGTGGACATTATTTTTCCAAAAAAATAAAAATAAAAATGTTTTGAACGATGAGTTTTAGGAGAACTTGTGATTATAAAGTAGGAAAACGTTTTGAGTTTATGTGTTAAAATATTTTATTGTGTGAATATATAGCTGAAAATGAGTATATAAAAAAAAAAGTTTAAAAATAATGGTAGCCTGAAAAGGGCTTGAATTTGAATCTTCAAAACTTGGATTTAAAGTTGATTTGGAAAAAAATTTGTTCTTGAAGTTTTTGAAAAATGAACAAAGAGATTTTCTTCCAATTTTCCTCTCCTTTTTCCGAACTTGGAACCTCTTCTCATACTTCAAATTTTCTACTCTTTCTTTCTCCTCAGACTATTTATTTTTATGTCCTTTAATCCAGGGGCGGATCCAGACGTCTAGTATTGTGGGGTCAAAATTTTAAAAATAATTTTTTTAATAAACAACATAATATCAATAAAAATAAGTTAATATGTATTTTGACACTTTGAAAACGTCGTATAATTACATCATTATTAATATTATTAAATAAATTTTGCTACTTGTATAGTTTTGTTTATCATTTCGTTGGTAAATGCTGAGCTAACATTGAGTAAATTAAATGAATTGAAATAAAATTCAAGTTTAGTTCAGGAAGTAAATGAAATTCAAATTTAAAACAAATATATATAGTTCGAAAGTAATTCAAATTGCATTTAATCCGTAACAATCCTAAAAAATTTACGTCATATTTCATGTAAGACTTCTAAATGAAACGATATAAATTATATTGAAAAATTTATTGTGCAAAGATAATAATTAATTGAATTTTTTAAAAGAAAAAACGAGTTAGACGTCTTTTTTAAGGCGTACGTTTGATACATATTTAACTATTTTTGATATCCGTTTGGACCATTCGATATGAAAACGATGTAGTTTTCGAAACAAACTTTTATATGGCATAGACGATTTGTGGATTCAGATAGCACATGATTACAAACGAATTTTTAGAGTTAGGATATTATTGAAACTCTCAAAATATTAGTTTCAAACGATCTACTTTAACATGTCATAACTTTTGCTATAATTGACCACTTCACATGCCATTAATGAGTGAAAAACTAGGCTATGAGCACTTTGAAATGGTATTAAGAATGCAATATTTTGACTTCATTTGACATCCCGACGAGTGCATCAAAGAAAATGAAAAAAAAAAAAAAAAAAAAAAGGTCAAATTTTGTGGAGTCATTTGACCCCACATGACCCCATGTGGGTCCGCCAGTGCTTTAATCTATGATTTCTCTTGAACTTTACAGAGAAATCCAGTAACTACTCCCATTTATCTATTTTTCAAGTAAAGGAGTTCAAAAAATAGAATGTACCTCTATGCGAATTTCTTGTGAAAAAAATGAAATTTAATAGACTCTTAAGCATTGATAAATTTAAAAGTGTTATTTAAAATGTATGAGGTATCAAACAAAATATGTTATTTGAGGAATCTTATTATTCATGTCTATAAAAACCAGCTAATGTATCCGTTCTTTTTTTTTTTTTTTGGATAAAATGACCAGTTTAATGAGCCAACTGTTTGATTTAGCTAAAGAAATATATTTTTAGTAAATTTTAATAAAAAATTGCTGAAATATATGATTAAAAAGTAGATAAAAGTTACACGATTGAAAATTAATTTAAGGAAAAATGAGTCATACATGGACTAAATCTTATTGCTTTTAAGCATCATGTATGTATACATCAAGATATTAATGAAAAATTTTGAATTGTAAATAGAAACTCAACTGTCTTTTGTTTTGAAAACAGGAACACTAAGCATTATCATCTACTAAATGAAATGTGAATAGTAGCAAGAACACATGGGGAATGACTGACCGGTTACAGCCACTGTCTATATATCGAATCAAAGTCTCACAGAACTAAATATGAACAAAAGACTCTAAAATCTTAAGAAAAATGCTTGCTGGACAAGCCTTGTTTCACAGGCTCCTCACATGCTGCATGAGGGGAGTGGAGGGGTGGGTGATTATTTATAAAAAAAAATTAATAATAAATAAATAAATAAATAAATAAAAATACCCCAGCCCCCGTATTGGGTGTGCCCTGTACATGAGCAGAACCCAAATCTTAATCATAGTACTGTCCTATCCCATCCAGTACTACAACTATCAGTATCCTAAATTCATTCCACAAGCCACAGGCACTCCATCTAGTACACGGGAGCCTCGTAAAATTGTATTAGCAAAAAGGTAGGCCTAAAATCTGGATAAACAAAAAACCATAAAAATGCGAGTACAGGATACACGAAAATCGGAGGCATGTTGGTATGATGAATAAAATTTTCGTTTCTTTTTGTCCTTTTAACGCTTGTAATTTTCTCATTTTTTATTATAAAATAGATTTATCACAAGATTCAAGCTCCACCCTTATGGGAACTTTCAGCAGTTAGCAATATGATAAATCAAAAATATATTCCCAGTCTTTAAAGCATGCCAAAATTGTCTACATAAATTCTCCTTCAATCATGATACATGTTTACGATTTTCTCGCAAATTGTTACCTTGTAGTACAAATTTCAAACGTCAAACCATTTAAGTGGCCCGTTTAATTTGCAATGCAGCCCTTACAACATTTCCTCTTGTAATAATTCCAACCTGAATGATCAAAACAGGTCAATCAGGACAAAAGTTAAAAACACTATCTGGGGGAAGATGCTAATAGAACAGTAATGTGGCAGGTTCTTACCAGTTTACCATCACCATCCACCACAGGCAGGCGGCGATACTTTGTCTCTAGTAGTATTCTGACAAGCAACAAGAAAATACATCTTCAATTTTGTTGTTCCTAATTTATTAAGCATGGATGAAAAAAAACTGCTATGGTATGCTAAAATAAAGCATAAGGGCCAGAACCTTGCAGCATCCTCAAGATTGGTGGATTCACGAACAACTACTGGAGCTGGTGTCATCAAATCACCCACAATTTTCCCATTGGTTTTGCTAAGCAAATTTTGCACTTCATTGAATATCTGGATGTTTATTCATAATTAGGTCTTGATTAGAGCGTTATATAGACTCGTATTTCGTCATCAGCAGCATGTTCAATTCAATGCGCTTGCAGACAGTTTCATTAGATAAATGAGAAAGAAAGTCCAATTGCTTTATGTTAACCATAAACTACGCAGTCCAACAGCATGTTCAAGTTTCTCCAATCTATTTAACTTCAATCGAGAGTATTTCACCTCTCAATGATTTTATTTGCCAAAAACTAATCAATTTTAAGCAACTAAATTTGATCTCCCTATATATAATAATAGGAGCATTGCTAAGGTAACACTACCATAATTCATTAGCGGAATAAGATCTTAGCATATTTTGGAATCTGTCCAGATTCATAGAATCTGATCTGGTCAGTGATTGGGTATTAAAGAGGGATTAGATTATGATGCATTCATAAGAATTCTATAACTATAGAGTGATTCGAAGTAGACTTTTTATACACTATAAACATAGACAAACCTAATAAGTAAGAAATTATTCCTCCTCTTTTCTTTCTTCCCACATGGTATCATAGCCTAGAAGAATAATTTAGCCACTGTTTGAGCCCATTCTCTATAAATTCATTTTTCCCAAACTCATTTTCAACCACACATTTTCCCAATAAAATAATTTGGCACGTAAATCCAAAATTTTTCCCACTTTTTTACCATTCTCCAAAAAAACGACTATTACAAAACTCATTTTTCACAAAAAAATGGGCTTAACATTTTTTCCAGTAAATAGCTAGTTGGCCTTACTAGCCATTATTTTTCCACTTGACCTACTTGCTTTTTATACTAACGGAAACTTCTGAAAATCCCAGTCTTAACTCTGAAGAACTGAATCGCTCTAATTTTCTTGGATCGTCACTGGCTGTGCAACTTTACCTTAAGGGTAAAGGAAAGATGGGATATTTGCTTGGTACTGTTAAGGAAAGCCTCAGATTCTTCATATAGATCATGGGAAGCAGAAAATTCACATATCATCATGGTTGATCAACTCTATGTAACCAGAGATCTAAAAGCCATTTCTATTCCTTTCTACTGTTAGACAAGTTTGGCCACAACAACGATGCATGCTGGAAGATACACGGAAGCCAGGAAACTGGAAACCAAGAACACTACCTTAAGGCTGAGTTTTCATGACCAGCAGTGAGTACAAGCCACCGTTCAAAACCACACTCTTTAGTAAAGAGCAAAATTGAGCTCCTCCGGAAGACGATCACCAAACAACATCCTCCACTTCTATTCTCGTAGAGAACATCATAGGAATCGGTTCTGTTGCTCAAACATGTAATTTTCTCATAGCCTTAAAAATACCCAAAAGAAGGAACACAACTCTTGGACTGTGGACTCCGACGCGTCACATCATATGATTGGTAATGCTAAACTACTCACTACATACAACCCAAGTTCAGAAAATCTCATGGTTCGAATTGCTGATGGGTCATTTTCTAAAGTAGCAGGGATAGAATCAGTTCCTATCACCAATGACCTGACCTTAAGATTCATGCTCTTGGTTCCTAATTTGACGTGTAATTTGTTGTTGATTAGTAAACTCACCAAAGATTTGAATTGTGTTACTAATTCTTTTTTCCAAATTGTTGTGAATTTCCAGATTTGGAACCAAAGAAGATTGGGAATGCTAAGAGATTTATTTTTGTAAATACTCCTAATAATTTGAGAGAACAAGATCAAGCTTCAAGTAGTGTTTCACTTTCCGTTTCGTCTAATAATAGTGTAATCCTGTTATGGCACTGTAGATTAGTACATCACAATTTTCAATACTTAAAAGATTGTTTCTAACTTTGCTCAATAACATCAAATCTGAGTCTTTCCAATGTGAAGTATGTAAATTATCTAAATGCTGAAAACCAACTATTCGATTCAAAGATATAAAGCTTTTCGAAGTGTTTCTGCAGTTTCTAATATTATCTTTTCATAGCATTTCTAATGACAAATTCATCTCTATGGAAGCAATGGCAGAAGTGCAGATGACAAAAGTTTCATAAGAAAATGAAGCAAGCTTGTAAAAACAACTTCTTCATAGGAGATCAATGCAAGCATTTGCATGTATATCAGAGAATATTTCACAGGCTTCCTTTTTGTAAAAAACTTAGGACCTCGCACAATAACTCCCTGGGTAGGTTCCATTTCAATGGGTACAAATAGGCAAATGGTAGAGAAATATTATGAGTCCCACGAAGGATGTCCTGGTTGAGCTCATGGTGCTGAAGAGTCAGGAGCCCAGCTGCCACCAAAGGATCATTACCTTGCCCGGGCTCTGGTGCAGAAGACCAAGACACATTCATTTACACTACCTCTAAGGCTCTAACAGTTACTTCACTTTGACATCTAACGTGAAGATTTATTTTAGATTCAAACTTGATATGTGTTTCGGACTTTCATTTACAACTTCAAGAACAATAGTATTCAATTTTATCACCCTTCTCCAGAACAAGATAATTCAAATGAGTCTGGGAACAAAATTATAAATAGAATTAACTTCCCTTTTTTTTTTTTTTTTTGGAAAGTATTAACTTTTCTAATTAATGCTAGAGGTGTAGAGATGGTTGGCCTGCTATCCTAGTGGTGTTCAGCATTTACATTCATAAATTAAAAAGTCCAAAAGTGAGCATCATAAAAGAGAAAAGAAAGAAATGATATATTTTGCATCTCTAATAAATAATAGCCAGCTTACATACTTTCCAAGTGCTGTCAACTTCAGGAAACATGTTCGTATCAGTTCTTCCAGAGCCTGATGATGACATCGGAACATTTCATTTCATGTTAGTGACAGATAGTTTCTATATATTAGCAAAACGTGTCTAAGTGGCATCTTTAAAATTTATAAACACATAAAATGACAAGCAAAACCATTTTATGAGAAGACATTGGGAAAACTATTTATGAGAAGACATATACGTTACAGATGCTTGCATAATTTTGTGCACCATAAACCTTCTTCACAATTTTTTCCACTATAAATACTCTCCCTGCAAAAGACCCCAGGAAAAAAAAACCATCCTAGAACATGATCTACAGTAGCAGGAAGGCTTACCCTATAATATAAATTAGGGAAGCAAATTAAGCTCTAAGATATTGTTCCAGGTTGACCATACTTTCTTCCAAACAGTAACAAAAGGATTGACAATGACACATACAACACTTGTACATTCAATGACACAATACAGAAGATAATTTCATCACCAGGATGGGGAAGCTATTGATGTGAGGCACAGAAAGCTTAGTTCTACGGTATTCATCAGATCAATCATATTCCAGCAAACAAGGAGCAACTGCTGTAACTACTAACTCAGACCTACGTTTGTGAGACAATTTCAACAAGCAAGCATGAGTTTGATTCAAAAGGGAACAAGAATTGGAAACAAAATTAATTCAACCAAAATTCAAAACTAAGGGTGGAAATTTAAAAATGATGAAAATGGAAAAACAATACTATATATATATATATAACAATAAATGCACCTGAGATGGAATCCAGTGCTAATAAGTCATAGTCCGAGACAAGACCGACCTGCAGAACAAGCAAGCTAAAAATGCTAAAGAAAGATATGAAAATTGCTCAAATTACAAGGATTATGATCAATAAATTACATGCCCTATTTTCTTGGTAAGAAGAGTATGTTTGTAATGGAAAGAATGTATCTCCATGCCCAAAAAAAAAAAAAAAAAGAAATACACTTTCAAGTTTCTACTTAGCAGTTTCGCAGGAAGCAGTACATGATTGTGGAACCCAAAGATTCTGAAAATTTCAGTCACCAAAAGAAATTTTATGGATTTTTTGTTTGCCCCACCCAATTTATTTACGTAGTTCAAATTGACAAAAAGTTTCTCTACGTAGACGATTTCATCCATTTGCATAGCATCTGTAAACTAACACTAGTTTCCATATGACATGGGTCTATCTAAATTATTATGTCACATAAATCTGACTGAGCACTCTTATTCAAGTTACCACAAACTTCAAGAAAAAAAGTCTAGTTTTAGTAAAATTGTTCCTCCATTAGAAGCCATAAAAGAAAAAAAGGGAATTCATACTGTCAAAAACTCATGCAGTCAAATTGACAACAATCACTACTAGTTTGGTGACCGACCGGGTTGCCATACTTCATGATTAAGGGTTTATTTTAATATTGTATTTGCTAGGAAGGATTAGATAAACCTTGACAGGACATCACTCTGTTCCATTCGTTTCTCACTATCAGAAAATTGCTGTCAGGATAAAGCCAAAAAAGAAAAAGAAAGGAATTCATGCTGTCAATAACTCATGCAGACAAATTGACAACTACCATTACAAGTAAGGTGACCGGGTTGCCATATTTCATGCTTAATGTTTTATTTTAATATTGTATTTGGTAGGAAGGATTAGATAAAACTTGACAGGACATCATACTGTTCCATTCGTTTCTCACTATCAGGATAAAAATTGACAACTACCATTACTAGTAAGGTGACCGGGTCGCCAAACTTTATGCTTAAGGGTTTATTCTAATATTGTATTTCGTAGGAAAGATTAGATAAAACTTGACAGGACATCACACTATTCCATTCGTTTCTCACTATCAGAAAATTGCTGTCAGGATAAAGCCACTACCCTTAGTCCACCTTTGCGGGATACTACAGGGGTACGTGATAAGAGTATTTTTCAAGAGAGAAAATCTAAAACCTTGTTGATTATACATTTATACTTTTCAGTCCTTGACAGGCACTAAAAGGGGGGAAAAGAAAGCAAACTTACCAACTTCCAGTTATCATCAATCACAGGAAAACCAGTTATTCTGTTTTCTACGAGCATTTCCAAGGCTGTTCCGCATAAAAAATAAAAATAAAAATAATTGAAAACAATTACTATGTCAAAAGAATCTTAAAAAGTAAAGTTGAACTTGAGCACAAAAACCTTCATCCACTGTTGTGGTTGGCTTCACAACATGCAAATCCTCTTTTTTTGTCATGAAATCACCAACGGTATACATTCCATTTCTCGGCTTCACAACATAATTGAAATTCAGAAAAACAAAACTATATGACAAATCAATTACAGAGATAGATAATTCGAAACACTTTAAAGTGGATAGGGGATCTTACGGATAAAGAGTTGGCAGTTAAAGTTGAGCTGGCGGAACAGACAATGCTCTTCCGCAGGTCCAAAAATCTGTCCAACGAGTCCAAGAATCTGGATAGAGTGGTTAGCTTCCGGCCGGAGCGGCATAAGGGGAGGCAAGGCCGGTGGTGAGAGGCGGCTATGGCGGGCAGCGGAAGAGGGAGAGTAATGAGTTTTGACGGGGATACTGAGATCATATTTGGAATTTTATGCTGAAGTTGGAATGGCGGAGGAAGTGGGGACTAGCGGTGGTTTATATGGTAATGGCGTCACTTCGACGGAGTTTGCGATGCCGTGGATAGGGATACCGTGGATTTATTGCGCCGAGGTAAGTTTAGCTTCTTTCTTCCAAAAATTCATTTTTTTAAATTCATTTTCAATAGCACATTTTTTAAAAATTTAATATTATATACAAATTTAAAAAATTTCCTTAATTTTTAATCATATATTTTCCATCAATCACTATTTAAAAATATATTCCTTCACTTATAGGACTCAAACAAGGGTTTAATTTGAAGTTACTAGTTCATTTCGAGGTTGGATAAAGATACTTTGCCCACATAGACCATCCTGAATGGCTAGGACCATCAAGCTTAACTTAGCCCCCGTTTGGCTTTCTTTAAATTTTATCAATTTAAATTTAAAATTTCTTTTCTTCTATTTTCAATCACACATTTTTCAATAAAATAATATTACACATAAATCGAAGTTTTTCATTTTTTTATGACCACTCATTAAAAAAAAATATATATTATTCCTCTCATTATAATTCAAATTAATGAGGGCCAAACGGGGACTTAATGTAAAATTTTTACATTATTCCATTTGTACAGAAATAAAATTTACAGAATTAATACAAAAATCTCACCCCACACCATGTGAATAAAATAGTGCCAAAAAAAATCACCCCGCTCCTTGTATCTTGCCTGGAGGGATCCTATGATCCCTTCTTCTGTACATGAAGGGTTGCTGAAAATTTTTAGAGAGGAGCATGTAATGTAAAATAGGGTGTAAATTATCATCTCCAAGACTAATTTTTTGTATTTTCAATTATATTATGGTGGATTTAAATTCAAATTTTGCTCAAATTGAAAATTTTAAATCCACTTTTTTTTTCCTCTGGTCAATGTATTTACATTTTTAATTTTTAACATTTTGTGTCAAAAAATTTAATTTACATTTTTATTTTTATTTTTATTTTTGCATCTCTCCGTTGGAAAAGTTTTCGACCATTTTGGAGATCTAAATCACAATTTAGATCTATTGTATACCATGACCGAGGAGATGCTCTTACTGAATAATTAAAGTGTCAAAATTTATCGATGATATATGAAATTTGAATTTAGATCACTAATTTAATAAACAAAATTACTATTGATGGACTACCCATTGAAAAATCGTCTCTAGTCTGCCTTTTCAAACGACGAAATTCTTAACCTTTACCTTTCTACTTTTAATTAAGAAGTTGAAAAATTATTCCTTGAACTCGAGTTGAGAAAAATAAGAAGATTAATCTTTGCATGATCGGTATTCTTAAGGTGCGATGACTATACTTTGAATAATGCAATCTAGTACCAGTTGTGCTAGAACACTAGTGTATATGACATTATGTGATGGATTCAATTAAACATGGGAGTAAGTAACTTGTTAAATTGTACTTCTCATTTAATAGCATATTAGTACCATCTAGATTAATATTGTAGTGCTAAATAACATTACTCCTATACTTTGCCCATGTGTAGTACTGTTTGTACTGATCTCCGAACTCATTTAAAGTTGAACTTAATCCCCTCTATGTCGGCTTTCCACATCAGATGTTCAGGTCAGCTCGGAAGGACCGCCGCCGTAATCTCAACAAACATCATAATTGTAGATTCTTTGCGACTTGTCAAATCACTCAGTTGGATAGGTACTCTCTGGAGGGAGTGATATCAGCACCGCCTCATCCCACCAATCAGTTACCATGGTTTTGTCATCTATGGCAGGTCATCATTACTCGAGGGAACATTGAAAAGATGGTTGTCGACCTCGTCATCCAATCATAGTGAAGGTTGACGGCGCATTATCTGAGCTTATCACCTCAACTGATTTGATTGACATGATGCTGTTCCAACCAAAGACTTCTTATAAATAATGAGGTGTCTTTCCATAAGGAGGGGGGGTGGGGTAAAAAAAGGAAACACACTTCAAATAAAAACCAAAAAGGATCAAAAGAGGGTTGGCGGGTAATAATCTTTATGATTGTGAACGTCAAAAGCATACATTCTTGGTCTTTCTCGCAATGGAAAACAAAATTACCTTTCCCTTTTTAATAAAGTTGGCTCAAGATTAAGATCTAAAAATTTTGACGTCAACAGTTTGGCATTAGAAGGAGGGCCGTCTTATGAAAAACAGCCTCATCATCCCATAAAAACACAACAAAAAACAGAACTCATGAGCCGCAGTTCCATGTCCGACAAAATGTTGAATTGAATCGTACCAGTCTCTACAGGGGGTTATTCTCATTTTTGTACTTGCTGTTTTATTTTCCAATTATTTCTTCAATTAGGAAAACGAACAGAGTAAGAAAACAATAGAAAAGTAGCGACTAAGATGGGAATGGCAAGGAGGAGACTAGTAGTAATAAGAAGATGCACGAGCTATAACCTTATATACGTTATTGGATGATATGGATTTTGAAAAGCTAGAGCTAGAAGAAAGAAAATGAAACATAGAACTAAGTATTCTATAGTGATTCTTGATGTTAGGGCTTTGATCGATCTTGGCTCATTTGTAAAGATAAGTCTCTGTGACTTTATCACAGTGTTTTCTGAACTGATTGTAACTTAGCAGCCATTTTTTGGTTTGTAATGCAACAGAGCTTTATCCATTTATAATGGATTCTCAACAGGGGATAAGGCATTATATTTGGTTGCCGAACCTATGGGATTCGTCCGAAAAATCCTTGTATTGATTTTTCTATTTTCTGCACTTTACTTTCTGCTTTGTTAATTGGTTTTTGAATCTTGATTAATATTTGGGTATTTCTTAATGTTTTAAAAATCGGACCTGACCGATCGGTTCAACCTGGAAAATCAGGAACAGGACCGAAATTCGATCCGGTTTGATTTTAAAACCCCGTAGTTTAAAAACCAAATAGGAACCCGTCGGACCGGCTGGGTTATATGAAATCGCCACCCTCTACTGGTTTATAAGGAACCCATGTAATTTAAACCATTATTTTTCAATTTCCACTTTCATTTCAATTCAAGCATGTTTTCAATTTCTCTCTTCTTTGGTAGGCCGTATCCATGGATTGAATAGATTCCAAGTCTCTCCTCTACATGTTTTCAATTTCTATCTGATGAGTGCTTGACACTCATTATATTTATACTACTTAATTCATTATTTTGTTACCCTTGAATATGTTTTAGAGAGTTTTAATGTGTCTTGATATTGTGATATAGGTTGTTTAAATTGGATGAATTAAGCAAAAGTTGGCAAAATTGAAGAGAATGGGCCAAATTTTAAAAGATTCAAAGTTTGGGGACTAAAATGTAAATAATCAAAACTTGTATCGAACCTCGTAATGAAGAGCAGAGAGTGTTGGGAGTCAATTGGATGAAGAAATATGTCAAAGTGATCACATTTAGGCAAAATATGATCACAAATCAATTTCTAACCGTAAAGTTATGCTTGAGCGTTTCAGCCTCACATTGAGACCCATTTTTGACATAGCAAACGATTAGATTGGAGAATAATATCTGAAGAAAAATTGTAGCCCTTTCAGTTAGCTTTCCAACGTATCTTAAATCACCTCAATTGAATAACGAAAGAGAAAGTTATGCTAAAAATAATGAAAAATGCGTAGTTTGTCATTTTCGACCGAACCAGGTGCCGCAGCGCCCATCTCGGCACCGGATATGCGGGAAAATGTGTTTTTATGTTTTTGGACTCTTTTCTTGGTCCAACTCAATCCTAATTCGTCCAAAAACTTCAAGATACTATAAATACCATTTAAAAGTTCTATTTTCAAGAGGAATTGAAGGGGGGGGGGGGCAAGATTGAAGAATTCAACCACACAATTTAAAGGAGGCAAAAAAATTGAAGATACCAAAAGTAAGGAAGAACAACATCAAGGAAGAAAATTGAAGATCTACCCAAAAGACTAGTTTTTTCTATCCTTCTCTTTATGTTGTTTATTATAATTTGTATGATTTTCATTTATTACATCATGAACTAAACAAATTATCTAGGGGTTTGATGTAGCCGAATCGATATTATGGTTTGATGATTTTATAATTATTTCTTTGATTTTTTCACATATATTTAATTGTGTTATGATTTTAATGCTTTCAATTACTTGATCAATAATTGAATGAATAGATGCTAGTCAATTTCGATACTCGAAATAGGGGAATTTAGGCGTGATTATAAGATTGACACAACATAAATTTTATGAGTTTCGAGAGAAACTGTAAAATCTGTGAAGCTTACTCCATAAAAGAATCGAGACTTTTATAAATTCTTGATTTTCAATTTGGAATAAAAATATTGAAATTGGAATCTAAGATTATTTTCTAGCCGGCACTCGAGAAAGGGAAGAGGAATATATTAGGATTTTTGCTTTTAAATATGGAAAATTAATGGAATAATTGAAAATCGTTAAATCATAATTGACAGTAAGGTGAAATCAATCCCCAAGCCTTCTCATATTGATAATTTGCATTCATCAACTTTGTCACAACGAATCACATTACATTAATTTAACACAATTATTCAATCATCTGTTCATCTAAATAAAGTAGGAATTACACAATTATAGTACTTAGTAAAAAATTAAATTACAATCCTTGTGGGTTTGACATTCTTACTTCAATACTATATTACAAAATTTGACACCGTACACTTGCAGTATAATTTCATGTTGTGGACAACGCGTGACAAGTTTTTGACACCGTTGTCGGGGATTGTAAAATTTAATTGTTGCTAATATTATTGCCAATTAATTTCTACTTTAATTTAGATTTTTTACTTTTAAATTATTTTGCAATGCCTGTTTCAGGTTTATGCGAAGATCGAGGAGCGTTGGACTACTAAATATTGATCTTGAACCAGAACAAACCTTCAGATTTCTAAGGGGTATTCAGAGACACAACCGTGAAGTAATGGCAGAACAAGATCTACCAATAGTGAATCAGAACAATCAGAATGGTCAACAACGGGCTATAAAGGATACATCATACCAGTTGTTAATGAAAATTACTTCGGTATTGCACGACCAGCTATTGCTACTAACAACTTTGAACTGAAGCCAGGACTTATACACATGGTGCAGCAGAATCAGTTTGGGGGAGCTCCAACAGAAGACTCAAATGCTCATCTGGGTCCTTTCTGGAGAT